GAAAGTTGAATGAAAACTAATGAGACAGAATACTAATTTCAGGTTCTGTGAACCTAAAGGAAATGAGAAATTAGTACAATTATATGTGAGAAAACATAGCTACCCATAGACTCTCAAAACCAATATTATGATGCTATAATTACATCATAACTCCGATCATCATCGTAACGTTACCTAGAGGTTGTAGAAATACAAAACCAAGGCGACTAGATTCAGCTCGTCGAGGGCTTCAAAACAAGCTAAATTTGATAGAAATTGGATCACAGGAACGGAGGTTGGCCTTGAGAGTAGGATAATTACTGTACCATATCATCATATGATTACCACTTCGCAAAATACTTTTAAATTATTATGTAAGAAAGGTTTTACTAGTATTAACTGGTGTTGAACCTAAGGATTAATCAGTGTTGAATCAGTGGTGATTAATTCATTGATTCACATTTATTTAATTTTTGTAATTCAAAAGCATACCTTTGTAACTTTAATTGGTTAGTATATAAATGATTGCCATTGATCGGTCCAAATTTGAAAATATCCCTGACTGAAATAATGGCTGAACCGAAAGAATTAAGAATACCCGAAAAATCACTGCAGCCTGAATAAAAAAAAATATAAAGCTTACCTAAAAAGTAATAATGAAACTACAAAATTGTCGAACCTGAAAAAAATTAAAAAATTAAAAAATAAAAATGATAAAAAAACTTACCCAAAAAGTAGAATAAAAAGAGAAAAAAAATTTCAAAAAAAAAATCACAAAAAATAAGAAAATTTTACAAAAGAAAATAGCTAAATCAAAAAATAAAAATAAATTAAATTAAAAAAATAAATAAAAAATAAAAAATAAAATTTTAATTATTAATTTATACAAAACGAAAAAAAATAAACTAATCAGAAATAGTCAAAACTGAAACTAAAAAGGAAATCATTTTCATTTTATTGATTGATTCAACAAATTAAATTTTGACAAATTTTTGATTATTTTTAAATGAATTTAATTGATCGATCATCATGATATTTTTAGTTGATTGATTATCTTTGAATGAGTCTTCTTCTATTAGCATAATATTAACCAGCCAAAAAGTTTTTTTTATTTCTATTGTTTCTTATACTATTGTCTTTTTTATATATATATATAAATATGGATGAAGTAGAGCCTATTATTGAAGAAAATTCTTCAAAATCTAGTATTTGGAAATATTATACTAAAGAAAGAATTAATAATAAATTAGTAGCAAAATGTAATTCTTGTAGAAATATTAGGTATGCTCTTAATGGTGGCGCAACTACCAATCTCTGGAATCACATTAAGAAATTTCATAAGAATTTACTTGGTTTGACAACTGATCAACGAACAATTGATGAATGTATCAATAATAAAGATAAAGTAAATATAATTTATATTAATGTTTTCTTAAAAATAAATATATATATTAATATATATTGTCAAATTATCTTTATATAGCCTCTTACTGAAAGTACTTTAC